CTGCTAGCAGCTATTTTCTCCCTGAAATTGCACCAAGTCATCAACTTGAGATAGTGTTAGGACATTGCAACACCAGGGGAGCTGATTTTCAGGCAAAATTTGAAATTTGTGTCCTCACAATTTGTTTCAGTAGTGATGCAGATGTCATTAGTGTGACCTCATGGCTACGTCTTCAGTTCCTTGAGTGTTTCAGGTAGCTACCTTCAGCTTCTTCCCACATTCACCTCATTTTGTGGGAGTAGTGAATTTTCCTCTTCTGCAGCGTAACTGTGGAATTCTTTTTTTGATGGACAGCATCCTGGTAAATACTGGATTGTAAACAGCTGGTGTACTAGTCTGAGATGCTTTGATGGCAAAGTAGGTTAAGGGCAGTATTTTCCCCTGTGCTGTTGTGAAGCACATGGATTTGATTTTCAGAGCGCACATTTTACATATGAACATGTGTGTATATGCACATATATGTATGTATATGTACATACATGTGTGTACTTTTTTTCAGTAGGCAGGACCTTTCTTCCCCCCTAAATTCCAAACTTGTCTGTGAAATTAATGTCATTGAAACTGTTTTTATTATACTTTTATTTATTGAGATCCAAAGCCTAGAAGAAATGCAGACTTTGTGAAGCTTTCAGTGGCATACTGAAGAAGATGGATATAAGCATGTGGAGTCATGTTGTGTTTCGATCTATTCTTGTAGGTCATGCAGGTACTCTAAGTCATTACATACTGGTGAAGGGACTCCCATTGCACTGCCAAGACATGAAAGAATTCCTGGAGGAAGACCGTGGACTGCTGCACTCTAAGGTCTTCTCAGAGAGCCAACAGTGCCCGGAGCCATCGACTTCCCCAAGCAGTTCAAGACACAAGAAAACTGCTTTGAACTTGTTTGTATGTTGCAGTGAATCATTTGTGAGAGATGAATTACTTGAAATTTAGCAATTTGTGCTCATCCAAGTGAACAAATGTGACTGGAGATGTGACCATGCCTGGAGTTCCCCAGAGGTACAGCAGTACTATCCTTGGGGTGCACCATGTGGAGCAGAGTCCTGGTGTCCTAGGCAATTCATCTAGTGGATTTGGACAGTAGAAGAGAGTCCACACAGCTAATCAGGACAGAGAAGCCTGGGACAAACCACATCTAAGGAAGCAGGACAGGTGAGCCACCAGAAACGTCTGTTTCTTACCTGTAGACCGCTGAACAAACAAATGTACATCAATCCATGACATCAGACAATGCTTCTTTTAAGAACACTGATGTAAAAATGAGGTCTTGGGTGCTCATTTATGGTTCAAGTAGCAGTTTATATATTTATTATAATTATACACAACCATGACAATCTATATTGCCATTCAAAAATAAATTGAAGTATTGTCAATTTGCACATGGTCTGTCACTAATAAGAATCCCATTTACATACAGAGTAAACTTTTTGCATACTTAAAACACTGCTTTCAATTCTGACACTCCCGTCTCTTCCCTCCCCCTCTTCTCTGGAGCTATATTTAGACTAGTAAATGCATGTTTCCAACTATGCAACATTCAGGGACTACCACCTTTTAAAACTCAATTTAATTATATCATTCCAGCACTTTGTGGAGGTGGCCAGTAGGTAAAGCTCCTAAAATAAGATATACAATTAAAATTATTCTTAGATTACACTGCTGCGATTCCTGCTTTTCATTGCTTATTTTCCTTCTGAACAGGAAAGATGGAAAATAGGGTTTAGTATCTGGATCAGGTAGGTCACATGAGCACACTCCTGGTTTAGTATCTGTTAACAGTCACCTTCTGCCGTTTTCACTGTTAATTACATGTGTAGTAAGTGGCTGAAGCCTTCAAATTTCAACTGTGGAGAATTAAAAATTTGGCTCAGTCAGCCACCACACACTTTCTCTAGCGACTGAGTTTGTATTTATAGCCCAAATGTTATCTTGGGAGTTGAAATCAAAATTGATGAGGGATTAACTGCTTTTTGCTATGCAACATAGTTTTTACTACCTCTTTTGACAGTGAGTTTGTATCCTCTGGTGCCTGAAAGGCTAGAAAGCTCAGAGGCAGCATAACATTCTTTGATCCAGTTAAGGACAGCTCACAGCTCGTGGTAGCCAATGTAAGCATCCTCAGAACAGGTAAAACTGTGCCGACCCATAACTGAAGTCTGGGGTTCACTTTAGAAGTTAACATATTAAAAGGAGTGTGGTAACACAGAAATGAAAATCCTGTTTTGAGCGATGAGATTCCTCATGATGTTAATTTATGGGAATTGAATTTAGCTTCTTTTCCTACAGCAGCTGGCTAGGTGCTTTGGATCAGCAAATGCAGCGTATTTGTCAAATGGATCGTGTTCGTGAAAGCCACTGTCTGAGACAAAAATACTCAGGAAGCAAAGTCTCCTGACAGCTCCTTGCCCGTTTCCTCTATTTAACTTAAATGTAATCCTTAACCAGAAAAAAAACCATGAAATATGGAGTATTTAGAACAGTTAACAGGAACAATCTGTAGCAGGTTAGAGTTCAGCACACTGAGATGCTTCAAAAGAAATAACTTCATTTACTAATCATACCAGTATTTACCAAGAAATAATATCAGTGGACAGATTGATTTATTTAGATTAACAGCCTTCACTTGTAAGTGGAAGAACCAAAAACCTCACCCAGTTCGCCATGTACCCTCTGGCTGCCCATGCAGAACACGAGTTTCAGGACCATGTACTTTGCTTTCCCTTCCAGTGCTGACATACCAATGGAGACAAGGGCAACTTCCCCTTCCGCCGTGTCTTCTTGGGATACCAAAGTGGCAATACAGGTTAGGTGCTTCACCCAAAAGACTTGGGGAGATTCAGAATTCATGTGCCTACCTAGGTTTTGCAATCATGCCCCAATGGCAGCATTTAAACAGGGAAAGGAGGACAATGCCAGGGGCAAGCAAGAGAGAGGGTTTTGCATTCAAATTCAGGCCAAACAAGGCAGACAGCTGTACTGGGTTATTTTGAGCATGTAGCACCCTTGTCATTCTAAAGGGAGTATTAACTTCAAGAGACTGTTAAAAATCTATTTAGGTTTTATCTGACTGAAGTTCAAAGAAAACTGCTGTTTAAGCTACTGTAATAAAAAGACATGGAAAGAAAGCCATGAATCAGTTGTGAAAGAGCTTACCAGCCACTTTAGTAAAACAAGTAAAATTTAAAGCCATTTCTTGAGCAAGCATTAATGCTCGACAGGAGGGAATCAGTCCTCTTTAAAGCAAAGAGGATGTTAGTGGTAAATAAAACAAAGTATTTATACTGTTTTGTAACTAAGCTTTTACAAACCCAAAACCCAACCCAAAACTGTACCACCTTTACCAATAGTTTTGCTACACAGTTTCTGTGTGGGATGGAGTGAACATTTTCAAACACTTGAACATATCTTATCCTCTATTCAAATTTCAACTAAGATAATCAGGGACAAAATACCTGCTTTTAAAATACACCAGATGCACAGTAACTGCAATTGTGGGTTCCCTAACAAAACCTGTTAGCTTATGTTGCAAGACACTAATTCTGGGGCTGTTGGGGTAGCCACAAGGTACCAACTCACTGAGTCTGATGCACAGAATTGTGCATAGCTTATGTAAGTACTTGAAAACCTTAAATCTGTGTCCTGGTAGGATTTTCTTATTGTAGCAGAGAACAAATTACATCTTAACAAGTTATGTGTTCACATGTTCATGTGAAGCTCTGTACAAAGAACAACTTCGCCCTGCCAAATGGAATTCTTCACATGTATGTCAGGAACCAGCTGCAATGAGCACTACTATCCCTCTTCACCAGGGATTTAGAGACAGAGCAAATGCATAGGGGAAAAAAACCCCACACCACAGAAAGCCCTATTCTAGTAAGAAAACCTTAGATACTGCTTTGTTGTATCCGTTTTTAAGCTTGCTGTGTAATTATTCTAGCCTTTATACCTAAGAATTTCCTCAACTATTTGTAATGTAGTATTAAACATCTGATGATCACAAGCAGAAGACCTACAGTTGACCTTTTATCTATAGGAGGGCTTATGCTGGACATTGCCAGTGTCTGAGCTCTTCTGCCAGGTATCAGCAAATCTACTAGACAAATTAATGTGTAGGAAGCCAATACTTCAGAATGCTGCTCATTACACTGATGTGGTAAATATTCATACTGTTGAAGCCTAAAGGACCAAATGTAGCTCAGTCCTGTACTAACCCCTAGGACAACGGACACTGAAGTACTGTCACCCCCTTCAGTGCCACAGATGTGTGACTGGAACAGCAAGATTCAGGACTGAGGTTGCAGAGTAGCTGCAGGTCTTCAAGGCGAGTTTTTATTCAAGGGCTTTAAATAGAAAAACTCAGGGTACCAGACCTTCCACAACTGAATGCACAGAGGAATATTAGAGCAAAGTATGTGCATCTCTGTCACCCAATGTCAATCATGAGGATACAATTCTAGCACTTGAGCCTGTTTAGCAGTTTTATATACAGCTGTACATGATGCTTCCTTTTCCTGTGAGAATATTTAAAGAGTACAGTTCACCTCTACCCACTTTAGCCTGGGTGACAGACTACTCTTTGTAGCATGACCAGCAGCAGAACATGAAGGGCATGTCTGGAGACAAAACGTCTGCCAAAGACGGAAACAAGAGCACAACCCTTCACTTGTTCACAGTTAACAGGCTTGCACAGAACTGCTACAATAATGCCTTACTGACACCTGAATACATATGGGCAACAGAGTTCAAGTCACTAAAATGTTACATTGCAACTAGTTTTGGTCTCATATGCCAGCTTAGAAACCACTTCAAAGTGGCTGAACTAGGCTATTACTCTTCTGGTAATAGAAGAGTTGTTTGAAGTCAAAAGTGACTTGCAAGTGCTACAGCACCTTGGTGACTTGACAGAAGCATTCAGTATACAGGAACATACACTGGACCATGACAACGTCCCAGATGTGCGTCCAACATGTATCAAAGAAAACAGTGACTCAACTGTGTAATACATTACAGACATTTTCATTAGGTCAACTAAATGACCTAAGATAACTGGTAAGCTATGCAAGTTCATCAAGTAGATTCCATCTTTGGGGTAATAATATCCAGTTTTTAAGTTCTTTTGTTTAGCTCCTTGAACAAAAGGTTTATACACCAAGTACTAAGGCTTAGATTAAGCTCTCAGGATATCTTTCAAGTTTGCAACAGCATTTAAGCAAATTCAAAACCAGGGTGCCCATACCCAGCTCACATAACACAATTTTTGTTGTTTCCCCTTCCCAGCACAAGATATAATCAAGATGTAGATTTCATTCCAAACAACAGAAGTGAAATAGTAACATGTGCAGTAAGTCATTTTCAAGGGAAAGCCATCCAACAGTCCTTGTATTTTCTACCCCTTTGTACTATTATCATTAGCATCATCCTATCATAAGCACAGTACATTATGTACAGCAATGTGCACCGAGACCATTCACTTAGTTCAGCATGTGGCAGAGCCATTATGCTGCATTATTTTGTAACTAATATTGGTAGTGGTATGGGAATCTCAAATGTTTAAGCTTGTATTCTGTTTATATGAAAAAGACCAAACAATTCTCATGGTACATCAATGAGATGGACTAGAATGCCAACTAACCTCTATTTTAATGTTTAAATTATAACAATACAGTAACTAGAAAAGGTCAGTGCTTCAAGTGACAAGTCTTGCCACTTCAATTCCAATATTTTTCCAAAATAAAGACGCAATTAGATCTACACTTGAGCATCAGTAGTGCAATACAGTATCCTTTCCTGAATAAAGGGGCTGAGGTTTATCCACAATAAAAGCTTTAAATAAGGTAGATTGTTGCCATTTATATATCAATTCTGTATGTTTGATATAAAATATATTGGGAAAGCTTAAACTGACTTATACAATCTACATTTGGCTAAAGCTCCACATAAGCAGCATCAGTGGAAATGAACATCAGAGATGTACTTAATATAAAACACTTTCAAAACTACTCAGCAACAAATGACAGAAGGTTGACTAAGAGTAACTGAACATCCGAAGTGTGTACCAGACAAAAAGAATGGACCCTGTGGTTACTTGCACTATTTTAATTGGGTAAAAGAAATGCAAGATTTAGTCCACTTCCATTTCTCCAGGGGGTTTGGTCTGCGGAGAATTGTCCTTGGTTGGTTCAGGTTTTGTTTCAGTACCGCTCTGTCCGTTCACTGGTCCATTGTGTTCACCATTAGCTTTTGACTGCCCATCACTGGGAGGCTCTATCTTCGGTCTGGGCTTGTATATAATGGGGTTACAGAAATTATCCAATTCCTAGTTGTAACAGAAGTGAGACAGTAAGTTCATTTGGTGGCACAGGAATCACATTCAACTAAAACGTCTGAAATTTGCTTCTGCTTCTTAATGACCTGGAATTTGATTTTCAAGGACTAGAACTTTTCAGTTATATCAGCTTAAAATAAAACCTTTCAACTAGCTAAAGAGCTGCCAATCTGTTAAAAGCCTGTATGGCAGTGCAATTTCTATTAAGACTGGTGCTGTAACTTGGCCTATTTTAAAAAGGCTTTTAAAGAGGTACTGCTGTAAATCAAGAACCACAGCTGAAGATCAGTAAAACTACTGCTCCCTCTATATGGATCTTTTTAATAGCTTTAAGATCCCTGCAGATACAATATTCTTACTCGATACAGAGGCCAGAATCTCATTTAAGGACAAACTTACTAGAAAGCAAGAAGTACAAGAATTTTTTTACCTTAGATTTTGTCACTATTTCTGCCACTTTGACAACTGGATCCTGAGTTAGACTTAGTTTGTTCTGGGCATTCATTTTGCTGTTCAGCCAATTCATTGCCTCACTAATGTATTTTTCCACCTTCTCCATCTCAGCAGGATCTAAGTGATCATATTTTTCATCCTAAGGAAAGATGTATAGTAATTAATACACATTTCTCACCCAATTAAGTATTTCATGGGCACATAATAAAATAGGGTAACATTGCTACAACCTGATAGAAGTAGTTTTTAAATAAGCTCAGTAGCAGGAGCAATTGCAGAACACCACAGACAGGACTCTATTTTTAGACATTTGAAATGCTGATTTTAAGTACATACTGTTCAAGTGCAGGACAGTAATGAAGCTTTAAAACTGACCATAAAAAAGTGACTGTTTAATTTATGTTCTCATGAAGAAGCCATTTTTGCTAGCAGCTCAGAACAGTTCTACAAGTTCTCAGGAGGAAAAGCACAACAGCCATTTTAAAGCAGCTTAACAGATAATCCTATAGGATCCTTTTTAAACACAAAAAACTACAGCCAAACTGAAACACCCATAACAGCTCATACCCTGATGAGTTCACCCTACCTTATTTTTGTATGCTTCCACTGCTTTCATAAGGAGCTGAATCTTCTTTCCCAGGTCATTTAAAACTTTTGGTCTCTCCGCATGTTCCATGTATCTTTCCTGAATAGGCTGTCCAAATTTCTGGAAACAAGCACAGAGGTCTTGATAAAAAAACAAGTTTACTTTACTCTGGGGTCTAATACTAAAACACAGCACTGGAAGGAAGGCTGCCTTTAACTCCTTTTCTCACCCATTCAAGAGATTAACCTCTGCATTTTACTTTAGAGCCACAAAAAAATCCCAGATGTTTTAACACAAGTGACTCTCCTTGTTTGGCTTCTTATTTTGCAGTTATTTTCACCAAAATTAGCATCTGGAACAAGGCATTCAGAAAAGAAACAAGGCAAGATTCACACAGATGGTTTAATTTTGAAGTAGTTATCCTGGAATGTTCTGGTTTTCTCTTCAACTCTTCCCTTGAATACTGGCAACCCAGGCAAGGCAGCAGGTGTCAGGACGTATACTGCTGTTTGCATCAGTTAGTCTTCCCCCAAATGAAATCTGACTCTTCAACCTTTATCATTAGATATTAGACCAAAAATTTAGTTTTATGATACAGGTTTAAAAGACCACTGAAAAAAGGAAAACCAGAGCATATATTGTGAAGCGCAATTCTGGATACCTGGGAGAGGAGTCAAACTACTCAAAAGCCTCTTTCAGACTGTAACAAGACTGACAGAGAATTACAACAGCAATTACTTCATTGTCACTAGTGACAGTCTGCTTCATTTTGACTGTTTTCAAATTTGGAGCACACCTGACATTAAAGCTAAATTCTAGTTCCAAATATTCTGTTCATTTCATAACTCAGCTACATTCAGATAAAACCTGAATGTCCATACTTAAAAGTTAAGGGATTTACAAAACTCATGCATGGTGTGCACACACACATCGATCATTAAAAGAGCTTTGGTTACTTAGCCATATGCTTATGTAAATGCCCCCACCCCTAAATAGACACACATTTTTCTAGAAAATAACTTAAAATCCTACTCTTAATTCCTGAAGCTTATCCATGTACACTTGTTTAGGCTGGTCTTCTCCATCTTCATAAAGCCAGTTTTCTGTATCCTCCAACATCAAGGTTAGCTTGTTCGCATCCTGTGAAGCAAGTTAGGGACATGCTATGTCAGAGGAGATCATGACAAATGAGCCTTACCCTCTCAGCACACGAAGAAAGCCCCTGCTCAAAAAAGACTGTTTCATCACTTCAGGGTATTCAAAGTAACAGTGAAAGAAAACAGTAATTAACCTACTTCAAAGCCAAGATTTTACAGTATGATAGGAGAACCCTTACTAATCTGATTTGCAGCTGAAGTTCATGGGAGTTACACAGCTTCAGGACTGATTTTAGACAAAAGGACATCAACATTCTTGCTTATTATCCTTACAGGGGAAGTACTGCTTCTCAGGTTCTCTGATCACAGGATGAAGACGACTAGACAAATTTGGAAACTATATACATAGTTGAAGGCAAAATTGTTTTAATTGGACTCCACTGGCTATAAACAAAGATGTTTACTTGTTCAGAAATAAAGGATCTTACCTATCCCCATAACTTACCCAAGAGATTGTTTTGAAAGTGGTATGGGAAAGACAGCCTCACACCCTTGAGTTTAGACTGGAAGAGCATCTGTGCTGTGCTGCTGAACAGGTAATCCAGAGAGCTGACCTTAAAACTGCTGCTGGACATTAGTTGTTTCAGCTGGTGGCTTGTGTACCAGCCACTTTCGTTTAGATGGCTGTTACAGAGGCACAACTGTAGGGCATGTGTTCTTTCAAAGCTGCTTTTGCAGAGGCCTAGCGTACAGTTTCCTTCATTACCTTTACCTGAAATTTCGGTAACTTACCCTGCTTGAAAGTAGACAAACCACAGAGCTACAGACACTCCATTTCTGTTCTTTTTAATGCTGTCCACTCACACCATTTAGAAGCTCGTAGTGATCTGTCTTGCTTTCCTACCCCACCACAGGGTTTTTATTTTCCACCTGCATTCCAATCTTTCCTTGCTACTGAAAAACTTCTCAATGAAGAACTCTGCATGTCAGCACGTCAAATATCAGGTGCAAGCACGGTTTGAACTTAACTTCTGTGAAGTTAATCAATTTTATATTCCAAACATATTTAAGAGATCCCTGCAGCCTCATAACCCATGCTGAGAACTTACAAGTACAAAGGCATTTTTTTTACAGCAGTTGAAACACAGGCAAGTCTTACTTCTTCAGTGATGAATTTCTCAAAGACTCCACACAGCTTGTCTCTGAAGTCATACACATACTCTTCAACAGCGTTCTTAGCATCATTTCTTTCTTTCTCAAGCTTGTCTTGCATCATCATCTTCCCCTAAGGCAAAAAAAAAAAGCTTACATAAGAATTAAAAGCATTTCAAGTATCAAGCTTAATGATTACTCTCTTGACACTATACCACAGAACTTTGCAGATGCAGCCTGCTACTTCACAGTTACTGATTATAACTTTCACTTTCGTGTAGGTCATACTTACTGCAAGCAGAACTGGAACGGGGTTAAAAAATGAGTTCATATTTGGAAGCTGTCTGGCAAGTGCTTCAACAAACTGATCAGGTATTAATAATGATCCGACCACAACAGGCAGGACTCAAAGTAAAGTGCAAGTCTCGACTGTGGTTTGGCAGTCACTAGGAATCATTCTGCCCTACAAAAGTTATTTAAGACTTTATTCTTCAGACTGACCATGTTTCAGAAAAGAGCTTATGTTTGTGGGATCTTCACAAACATGATAGCTACACAGTTCAGAAAGGACCTTCCAAAAGGCAAGTTTTCTGCATGTTATAAGACTTCCCTACTGATATAGGACTTCATGGGCAAAAATATGATCTAGTGAAGCACACAGCTTCTGCAGAGCACCAAAAGGTGTAAGTGCTACTCCTGACCAGTATCAGGTCAGTCAGCAACAATTAACATTCCTGTAACATACTGTGTAGCCTTCACTGGCTGTCTGCCTGCCTGAGGACAGAATTGACACTTTGACAGGCTAATAGGTCAAACTTGGGCAGTTCAGTCTAGTGAAATTGGAGAGTTTCACAAAAAAAAAAAAAGGAAAAAGCCCCACCAAAACCCAAAAAAACCCTAACCAACCAAACAAAAAAAAACAAAAACAAAAACCCACCAAAAAAATAAACACAACCAAAAAAAACCCAAACCCAACCAAAACAGACTCCAAATAATTCTAAATTAGGCAAAAAGTTTATGGCTTCATATGCTTTCTGGATTATTATTTCCAGGGACATTCATTTGAGTACTCATCTGTTTAAGCTGCTTACCTCATTTTCAATATAGCAATTGATAAGATCTTGTCCCAGCTGTCTATACAGGCTTGCCTGTATAGGGAGGTCAATACTCTTGACTTTTGTTTTAGCCTTTGGCTGGGATGGATGTTCATGCACGTCTCCAGAAACAACCTGTAGAAACACTTACACTATTAAGAAACTTAAGAATAGAAATATGACCACATTTGTGCTCAAAAAAAAAGACAAAAATAGTAAGACAGCTACAGATTAATCATATGTAAATGAAGCCCCTAATTAATCCTCTGCTATTCATAATCACCACTACCTTAGTTTTGAACCAGATTTGTGGAATTTAGTTTCTTTAAACGTTACGTAAAGAGCTGTTGAGAAAACCTGTTCAACAGCTAAAGACACTGCATATTCCCCTTGATAATGTTTCCCCATATTCAATCTCCATTATAAAACTACATTAAACAAGCTTACTTCAAAGCCTTAGTCACATACTGTGTTGAAAATGAAAGCTCTAAGATAGGATTCTTAACTTAGGCATTTCAATATAGCTGTACTTCTCTCAATAAAGTCCCATCTTTTGCACCTAGTAAGATTAGCAACCACACCGGGCAAAACAAGTCTAAGGGAAGCCACATTACATTTCCTTATCAATACTGAATACAAACTTTTGCTTCTGTTCCTGCATTTTCAGTTTCCTCATCTGCTTGGTTCTGTTGTTCAGCTTGACTTTTCTGAATGCCTTCCTCTTGATCAACCTGCATTTTATCCTAGAAAAAGAGTTACATAACTGAATGCAAAGGTTTGCTGTAAGATTTATGACTGATGTCAAGTACAGTAGATCACAGACAACATATGGACTTACAAGGCAATCTTAAGACTTTCTGAATTACTATGTTTAAACAGGCATTTTGATTTGAGTACTTGTATTCATAGCTTTCCCAAATTACATGAAAGTTCTGTTTTGCCTGTCCACCTTGAAATAATTAAGTTGCCATCTGTCCTTATTATAAAATTACATTAAGCCTTGTGAATACTCCACTTTAAACTAGAAATAAATAAAAATGTAAGCAAAGAACATTCTAGAAACATACCACCACCACAGGCAACAGCAATAGGTTCTCTATGGAACAGACAGAACTTTTACCTCGTACCATCTTCAATCTAAACTTTAAAGTTTGTAATCCAAAGCAGAATTTAGTAACTGTTAGCTGCATCTGTCTCATGGGACCATAAAAATTAGTTTCTGTAGTAGCCTCTTGGAGCACAAGACCAACTGTCTTCCCTCCCTGTCACTCAAAATTAACTAAATTTCACTTAAACTTATCTGTAATTCACCTATGCTTTAGTCTAAATTTAAGGATCTTAAACACATCGCCAATTATTGCGCTGAGCACTTGGTTTAGTTTAAGTAATACAATTCCTTGCCATTGTTGCAAAACACTTTTAACAACACAGTCAAATACAAGCCTAAAGTTTTCAGGATGACTCCAATACTTGGGACATCCAGAGTATCAATGACTAAGGAGCTGTAGCCAAGGTCTCAAAGGTCTAAGATTACTTCCATTACAAGGAACTACTGGATTCACAAAATACATATGCATGCAAAATAACTTGCTTAGTTCTGCAAGACACAAGAAATAGTTATTTAAGGATTTCAAACTCAAGCACAGGTGCCTGTGTTAATTTTTAGCTATATTAACTGATTCAGCAATCTTTTAATGATAAAAGTTGAAATCAAGAAGACTAATTTTACCAGACACACGCTGTCACTTCAGAGTAGGAGAAAAAATAAATAGCCTCATATACTGTTCTTACTGTTCACACAGAAGAGGCAACAACTGGAAGGATCTATTCTGCCTACACAGAAAGGCTAAAGCGGGGGGGGGAGGGGGAATAATACATATATACACCACAAACCTCCTCCTCAGAGTCGAGGGTATCATCCTCAGTAATGAAAGGTAATTGCTGACAAGCACCATTGTAAAACAGAAGATGCGTTAGTTGAATGCAAGTACTACAGACTGAAAGCCTGAAGATGGAAGTGGTTACTCTTGTACTCAACACACTCATCCCAGTAATGTCCACATGCAGGACACCTATTGCATTACATGCCAGCTGTCATTCTGAACTGTTATTCACTTCCAAACAAGTATCAGAGGCAGAGCACTTGTCCACAAGGAACTGCATCATGTTTGGCATTATAAATACGCTGAACTTCCTGGAAAGCGGTATAGTATTTCAGGAGTTGCTTACACCAATTATGTAATGCTAATTGTGTAACCACTTGCTCCAATTCCTGTAGTATATGCACCTAAAGTGGGAAAAGCTGCTAAGGACTTTTTAAAAGATAATTAAAGAAATGCATTCACCCCTTCCTCCAAATAAAGCTTCCCAATGTTTGTTTTCTGTCCAACCTTACTCCTCAAGGGCACACACCCTCAGTATATGCCTGACAGCCTGTGAGACTGGTCACTCTGCTGAGCGCTTGGCAATCTCCAGGACAGCAGGAATGCGAGGCAGCAGCTTGCCCACTGCTTTATCCTCTTTTTCTCTACACTGTCATCTCTCTCCCCTGTGAGCTGTGACATAACCAGAATCCCAAGCTGTAGGAGGGCACAAGGGAAAAAAGGAAGGCTGCTGAGGCCATGGCATGCTGCAACATGCTCCCTGACACACAGCACTATAAAGTAAGTTGATCCTCCTAACACTAGAATGAAGAGAAGTTTATCTTGCTAATTTCTCAGTATTAATGACAAAGGTGCTGCACATTTATTTCCAGTAATTTTCCCCTATGAGCTACCAAATCAGTCTGTGAGAACTTAATGTACTTCAGTACTGGTAGAAGTGCCTTTAGTGAATGAAAGGTTACCAAGAACAAGTTTTACACATATACAGAAATACCACATATTTTTACCAAATGAAAATGTAGTACTTGAGGAAAAACAAACCTGCCATTTTATAGCATCACTAAATAACACTAAGACTAGTACAGAGGTGGTAAAGAACACTGAAAAAAAGGTGGGTTTTTTTTTTTTAGAATCTGGTTTAGCATTCTTTTTTGCTTTTAGTGCCACATGTCACCAGTAGCTTAATAATGTGAAGAAATGTGTTACATAACTGAAACAATGACATAAGGGTGGAGAAGCAGTAACTGTCTAAAGCTTTACACTTTGATTTAATCTCTTACTATTGGCTCTTGTCAGAATTACAAGGAGTGTAGATATTTACAAGTTTACATACCAGCTCATCATCTCTGCCTTGGTTCTTACTTGATGATTCAGTGTCCATAGGAGTGTCACTGTGATCTCCCTCTATGTTCTGCCTCTCTATTATAGAAGCATTAGCCACACTGAAAAGGCCATGAATATTGACACGCACTTTAACTTTCACTTTGGAATTGTCACCATCATGTTGGGGACCCACATTTTGAACAGTGAAACGCCCTTGCAAAAAAAAACAAAAAACAAAACACAAAGATGGTTTTAATTTTTGTTCAAAAAAATAGTGAAAGAGAAAAAAAAAGGAAATAAAATATAACTCTTTAAGGGTGTTAATTTACATAGTAACTTCATGTAACTTTAAGCTATATTTGGAAACTTTCTACTTAGTTATCGATTTTACAACACGAACTGTAGCTACGTAAACTAGAGCCTGCTTAGTTAAGATGGTTTTGCTTTATCTGTATTTCAGAAAAAAAAACTTAAAACCAAGCTATGACTTTATTAGGTATTCTACTTCTCTGTTCTTCTCTAACCATTGCTCTAAAGAGCCTACTCCATCTTGAACAGGTCCTTTGTCCCCATAAAAAAGAAAAATGTTAACAGAGATAAAAGACTGTATTTGAATTTAGTTAGCACTGATGCACTACACATTTTGGAGCATGAACAGTGCTTATCAAGGCTTCTGGAAGCAGCAAGATTGATACTTCGTCTTGCAACTTCCTGAAAATTTGAGTGTAAACAACACAGACTGCATACATAAAAGAGAATGTTTTTTCCTAAAAACAGACTTATTGCGTAGACAGCTAAATAGGCAGCACCAAGTTTCTATCCAATTCATAAATCAGAAAATAAAATTGTGTATTAAAGACCCTTAGGAATATACTATAACTGCAAGTAAGGTAGTATCAGCTACCAGGAAACTTACTCATACCATCTAACACTTTATAGACTCTACAACAGATGCCTATTGAATTCATCTTGTACATTCAGATTAACAGCATGAGACATGCCAGGTATCTGTCCGAACAGGTAACTATCTAGTCTAACATATCTATTCTCATCTAATTTCTTTGAAAAATCCAGGCTGGAAGGCATACAGCCACCTTATCCATTTTACAGAGGTGGGGGAAAAAAAAAAAAAACAAACCAAGAAAACAAAGGCACCCAAAAAGCAGGCAATAGAGCACTACATTCTTCGTACATACATTTTTGGAACTAGAGTGTCTCTAAGGTCCCTTCCAGCCCAAGCCATTCTGTGATTTTTAAAGCATTCAAACAGTGACAGAATTAATTATTTTTTTTTTAGGAACTACCGAAAAAAAATGTCAATACCCTTTGATCAATGCATCTAAACCAAAGCAGCAAAGTTGAGCCTTTCTAAAGAACCTAGGCTGTTCTATAACCTAGGAAATACAGAAGTAATAGATCTTAAACAGGAGAACCACTTTCATTATTATCAACAGTAGTTCTGTGTAAGGGTTTTATTCAGATGTCCGTACCTATTCTGGAATCAGGATAAGGCACTTCATGTGGATGGGTGTAGTAAGCTTCCAGGTCAAAAGGTTCTTTCTTGTGAAAAGTAATGACTTTTGAGAATGGAGCAGCATGGTTCTTACTGAAGACTTCGCACTCCCTAAAGCATTAAAATATTAAGTATGGTTAAACCACTGAGCATAAAGATGATTAATCAAAATCAAGGGATGTTAATGATCAGCAGTCATATTAACCAAGCAGATACACAGTTTAGTTTGAGTCAGTTTACAACAAGAGTAGCAGGCTGAAGGCCTGTAGTTCCCAAAGCTGGACTAAGCATTCTGTGTCATACTTAAAGATTAAGCAACTCTACACAAACGTTTTTAATTAAATGTATAATATACATGTATAATATAAATGTATAATATACATTTAATTAAACATATTTCCAATTATTAAGCAATTATTAATAAGCAATTATTAAATATCTTTCTAACTATTAGCTGCAATTCAAAACTTGTAATGCAGGAAAAAAAAGAAAGAAAATTGAAACTGTTTGAGTGGATGACAGCTTCAAAGGCTGAAGCCTTGTCTTTTCCATAGCTCAACAGGTTTCTTTCTATACACAGACATACTTTCTAGTAGGCACCATATTAACTTACCCTGTTCCTTCTTCATAAGATGATTTCCATCTCAATGTTATAGAGTAAGGAACAACATCTGTGATGGAAAATTCACGCACTTTAAAAGCTGGGGAAAGAATTGCACACTAGAAAACAAAGACCAGAATTTTATTATATCCATGTAGTCAAATAAGTAGCAGGTACAGTAACTAATACCCAAGTGCAAAAAGGTTACAATTAAAAGAGGTCACAATTAAAAGAGGTCACATGGAGGTCCTGCTTATCACAATTTTTAATAGTAGTTTCTTATGCTTAGTAGAAAGTTAACTAAACTGATTGATATAACTAAAATAATAGTAACAGATGCTACTTCCACAGTGACTGTCAGTAAAGATACACAGCAATGGCTGCACAGAAGTGGAGGGCAGTTTGAGTCACCAAATTTAACAGGTCTCTAAAGAGACCATCCTCCTAACAGGAAACAAATTATGCACATGTAATTTATGTTATTATTAGAATTTAACAACCATTTATGACATGGCCACTGTCATCAACTGCTGAAAGAACAAGCAAGATTCTGCATCTTATTTCAGCTTCTGGTTAGTTGTATTCATTAGTTCATGATGTTAAAGAAGCAATACTCAAGTTGTATTGCAGTAACTATACCTGCAAGGCACAGCCTCTTGCAACAGCTTCGTCAGCATTTAGCGTGGTGCTTATCTCTTTACAGAAAAAGCTAGAGATCTGCTCCTTCACTGCTGGAATCCTAGTAGCCCCACCTACTATTTCTATACTGTAGATATCTTCACGTTGAAGTTCTAGAAAACAAAGTGCATGGCCTTAAGTTATCAAGACATCAAAAAGCTGTCTTTGGACAACCAAAAAAAGGGTAAGAGTTCTCTTATTATCTTGACACTGTGACAAGTACTGAATATATTCAGTGGCCAACAAGGTATTTAAACTAGGTTTGTCATGACCTTTTTGTCCCTCCTGCAGATTACAAAGTTTTCCGGTTACACAAATCTGGATAATACAGAAGCCAAGCATTAACGAGGACAACTCTTCTTTAAAATGCATTGCCTTTAAAATGCATCCTCTTCCTGGTTTGCATGAACTCAGGAGTGTGAAATTCCTTTTTTTTTTTGGCAGCCCTGCACTACTGGACAGTATCTCACCCCTCCCAAACATTAACAACAAAACTAAACCCAAGTATGCCTCATTTTATGTCTGGTTTTATTTTGGTTGCCAATGAAGAAAAGCAAAACCCTTAACTAAAAGTATTTAATAAACATTAGACTGTGCTTGCAGGGTAGCGTTTTAATTTCAAATTCAAGATACGCATATGAAATAATCACAAGCAACTGTCAGTCCTTGAACCAGCTCTGCTCAGGAGTTATTCAGGTCCTTTCTTCCTGTATTAGCTATCTAGACAAGGAATAAAGATAAGCAGAATTCTTCCCTTCTAGTTGAAGATGCTGAAATTAGGTGTAAACCCTTTTCCTCCGGAAGTCTAACTCTCCTTTACACTGTATTAGGCAAAAAATATTAAAAAAATAAAATGTTATTTGTACATGCTTCAGATAAATTATTTCAAGAATATGCTGCCAAATTCTCGGGTCAGTGAGGACATGTATGGATCACATATGGAACAGGCTGGCCGGTGATCCGCAGTAAAGAGTAATACTTTTTCCCATCATGGTTTTGAATTGGTTGCTTTGTATTTTTAACTAAAATAACCTTTTGGAGTGCCAACCTTTTCCATTGCATAGGGTGAATGAGGGTCAATAAACCAACGCTGCAGAGTGGTATGTGCACTAAATGAGGCAGGAACGGGATCATGCATACATGACAAGCATACGAATGGAACTTACATTCAACTTTTCAGTACTTAGCTTTGCAATTCTAATAAATACAAAAATACATTAAAAAGATAATCATTAAAGAGATCTAGGATAACTGGATTACTAGTTATGTTCTTGAACCAAAAGCAGTACCTAAATTAGCTCCTACTTACTAGCTTGCTCCATGGCTGCTCTTAGGGGAGGCTCCACCCTGGACAGAAGGGCAGCACACACCTGCTCAAACTGAGCTCTGCAGGAACAGGGAAAGTGCTTTGCATTACAAGACAGCTTAGAGGCCATGGTTCACTGCACACTTCAGCGAATGTAACATACAGTACCTGTTCATCTTACTGGAGACATCAAGGTCATTCATGAAGCATTCAATATTGAGTGGAAGGTCAGAAGCATTTGCACTCATAAGCTTCTTGAGTTTTTCACATTCTTGATACAATCGTAGCAGCGCTCGGGGATTCTCTTTTACATTCAGCTTGTATTTTGTCCTGAATTCCTCAGAGAAGTAGTCTACCAAAGCCTCATCAAAATTCCTACCACCTACAAAAGGGTCAAAGGTAGTAGCCAAGACCTGCAATGATGATAAAGAACATATATTAATTAGGCAACATTTGGTTAGAGATAGCTTTCATATAGACACCAGTTTCAGAAGGTCACACCTTTAAAAACAGGTTTGATAGTGAAAAACTCTTTGTGATTTTCTCACCATCTTCTATGCAGTTGCCAGGCAGAACAGCTGAATTATTGAGTTTCTACCCCCCCCAGATAAAATACTATAACATCTACCGTTATTTTCTACGATGCTGCAGCCCCTACCCAGTATAATAGCTGACTACAGAAAGGCAGACTACAATAGCTATTTTGTCACGCCATTACTAGTTCTGTGTCATTTACTCAAAGCAGAAAAACTTGCTATCATCTTCTACATGACTTCAGACAACATTCTGCTACCAAAGACAAGTTTACAAAAACATTCAGCTATCAGCAGCTCACAGACAAAAATCTCCAAACCAGGGAGTGAAGACTGTTCCATTTTACTTCACGTCCTACTGAATTTAGATTCAGAACTGTCACAGACGGCAGGAAAAAAAAATTATCACAGAACAATTCAGGGAGTTCAACAATTTCCTGTAAGTCAGTTGCACAACAATGCTCATGAGACTACCAGAATATGCAAATATTTCAGTGATACAACTTGGCACAACAACTGTGGAGTATGCTTAATTGTCAAGTGCTTTTCAAAATACACCCCAGGATACATCATTACTGCATTTTCTAAAAATGGGTTTGTTGGAATAGGCAAAAGATAACAAAAATTTTTTGTATTCAGCATTTGCTATATACATTTATTCAGTTAAAAAAACTGAACAAACAAAAACCCCACAAACAAAACAACTTCCACAGAACACTATTCTGAGTACTGTTCAATTAAATACTTCAGGAATATGGGATTTGACTGTACAACTTAAAAATATTACCTTCAGTTTTCCCTTGTTAAAAGCACAGATTGAAACCTGATATGCAGAGTGCCCCATATCTACAAAGACCACATTTCTTGGCTTCTCTTCCAAGGCTGGCAGATCCTGCTTGTATATTCCATATGCTAGTGCAACTGAAAAACACCAGGCCACAGAAGTTAGAGGACAGCTGTGCACATCTGTAAAACATGCACTAAAAGCACTAAAAGAAGACAAACACTACTTACATTTACTCATTCTGCACACCTCCATTGCTTTGCTCAAACACAACATAAGGATCAAAAGTCACAAGTTTTAGACCACTATGAGTTGCCACCTTAATTTTTATTTCTGATTGATTTCTAGCTTTACTTGTAAATTACCTCATTTTCATTCATTTGACATTCAAGTATTTTGTATAATCTAACATCTTTCCAAGAACAACCACATGCTGCACACCTTCAAAGCACTAACTTAAGTCAGCAGTGTATGTGCCATCATAAATTTAAATTTCTAGATTAAGAAGTTAGCAGATTTGTTACTTTTCCTTCTGCTTAAGAAAGTCTGTTCACATATAAAGCAGCTCATCACAAAGCAGGTTAATATGTTGAAAACATTTTGCACTGACAAAGGGAGGAAACATGTCATGTGAAGGTTTAACACTGCTACAGCATCACCTGGCACTTCAGTTTGGCTTGTAGCCCAATTCACGTTATCATCTATGAAATCAAACAGATTAGCCTTATGCCTACACCCTTCCTTTGAAACACCTGTCAGTGCTTTTTGGCTCAGATTTAAAAAATTCAACTATGCTCAAAAGCATGCTCTCTTGGAAAGCTGGTTGACAATTCCTAAAAGCAAATATTTAAATCGGATAAAAATAAGGTACAGTTTTAAGAGCTCCAACTTTAGTTCCCATGAAGTATAACATACTTCTGTACTCTACCCTGGAACTGACCAAACCCAGAGGAGGGCACTAAACAAACTGCTTTATAGAAACAACAGCTGTGCCAATGCTAGAGCTGAAATGCTTTGCACACATTTAAGCTGCCATTATACTACAGACTTAATTTGGATATTTTGGAAAGCCTCACAGTTCAAGTCATTTCCAAATATGATCAGCAAGTTTGCTTCCAGAAAAAGCTCCATAAAAACACAGTTTATATAGAAGCAGCTTTTACAGCATACAGATTATGTAGTTCAAAATGAAAATTACATTTTCCAATTTCCCTTCAATGTATTTCACTTCAAATAAATATTAGCTTATGATAAAAAAAATTCTCTAATAGTTCCATGATTTTTTACTCCAACACACCCATCTTCCAGTAAGCTCAAAAGAAAAACCTAAAAATCCTCCCCAAACACGTTAAATATTTACTGTAATCTGTCAGATGCAGGTTACATCTGATAATATTGTCCTATACTACTATTTAATACAAGTGGTGAGAATCTAGGTCAGGTGCACACCGCAGCTGGATCATGAGGAGATTTTGAAGTTAGCTCAGGCCTTTCCAATATTGCTGCTGCAGCTCCACGGGACAGCAGAGGTAGGTACAGATACCAGCTCTATTTCAGAAGCAGAGTAGCTGTTTTCAAGTGGTACTGTAGTCAAGTTAGCAAACTCGAACTCTTATTGTCTCCTAAATGCTGAACACCACCCCATCAAAACAGCTGCTGAGTTTCCAGTTCCCAAGCTGGATCGGGCAGTACTAGCCAGGATAGCTTTTTCCCAGGCTCCAAATTGTGTAACACGAATATGACATCACCCTCACAGATTCAACAGCCTGAATGGGTGAAATAAAATAAATGCTGTCCTTTACCTGCAGTAGTTTCATTCATCAACTTCAGACAATTTAATCCTGCAATCTGTGCTGCTGCCATTACAGACCTTCTCTCAGCATCAGTAAAGAAACTGGGTACCTGTTTCCAAAAAATAATTACATAGGATATTGTGAAATACAGACTTTCTAATTTAAAGAAGTCAGACTTACCCATTAAGCAACCCTGTAAATCTCAATACCACAAAAAACTGTTAAAAACTAACCTCAGATTAATAGGCAGTCTGAATGTAACAGCTAGGTAATTTATTTTAGTGCATATTTCAATTAAATATGCAACACAACCAAAATTAAATGAGAGGTAGGTTTTTGTTTGGTTTTTTTTTTTCTTAAACAAAGCAGATTTAAGCACTGAAAAAAACCCGAAAATGTTTTCTCAGGTTCTTCTGATGAGTATTAGCTCTTAAAAATCATTACCAATTTCTGACTGTGCTGCACGAATGTTTTCAACACAATACATATTCAAACAGAGCCTAACAATAAGTTGCTGCAGAAGTACTACAGTGGTGCTGGAACTAAACTTATTGCTGTTTCCAGTGGGAAAAATCTGTGTTCCAACTGAACCTGTATCCAGTTTTCATCTACCACAATGCCAGCTTACAGTGTACGACATTATTCAGCTCCACCAAAAATAGTCAAAGCACAATCAGAGCTCATTCAGAAACTGGCTGTGATCAACTAGCATATCTTCAACTCCAGTTAAGCTTAAGACTTAGAAGTACATTCATAGCATATTTCATTAGCTGCCATTGTGGTGCATTACCCAGGATCCTCCCTGTGTGTGGGAGGTACTCTCTGTGTGTTTATATACCATAAGGCAGCAAGGAAAAAGATCAAACCAGATTTCTAACAGCTAAAGTACACAGCTTTCCAATTTCCATGTGTCTGACAGAAGAAATAACCACAATATTTCATGCCCAGACTTCTCACCAGAGAAAGAGCAGAAGTGAACAGTAAAGAGACAATGTGAAAAGCAGGCATTTAGAATTTTAGATCAGGAACAAAACCTCATCTACAATCTCCCCTTCCCTACTCCCCCACCATGTGTAAGGACACTAGCTAAAGAAAACCAACGTAAGTAAAGCACCCAAATAAAAAGCCATTTTTAAACATACAGGTACTCTGAGCTTTTCAGACTGCCAATATAACCCTCAGAGAAAAAGAGTTCAGGCAACTCTCATATACACTACAACTCATCAGTGTTCAACCACATAACAACAGAGATTTAACACAAATTTGCGAGGTTCTTTGGAACTGTGGAAGCTACGCTTACAGATCCCATTTGTAACAGGAACTGCAGAGACTGGGATTACTTTATATAGCACTTGGAGTCAGCCACTCTGGATCAGCTTAGGTAGCATGTTCTTTCTGAAAACACCCTCTTGATTTAACAGATGCGCCATCTTCTCATACGTGATTACAAAAGTATTCTCATTTTAATAAAGTCCCATTTTCAGGGGGATGCAGTTTCTATCCACTACAGGTATCTCTCACCAGCACACCATGGTGCAACTAATACTGGCTTACATGAACGTGCAATATATATATTCCAACTTACTGAAATCACACAGTCTGCCACAGGTTTCTTCAAAGCACTTTCTGAAGTCTCTTTAAGTTTGGCCAATAACATTCCTGTAATTTGTTCAATTGCAAACAGTCTCTCTTCATCTAGGTATCTCACCTGAAACAGAGAATTACAATTCTGTAATAAAACATCTCAACTGAACAACTCTTTTCCTGACAGGCCACCATCTCTCCAGCAATCCCAAGCACTCCTGTGAAGGGAAACCCATAAAGATGAGCAGCAGCTATATTTACCCTGGCAATTAGTATGATATGAGGAGGTATACAGAACAAAAGCTCACTTTCTGTGGTGAATTGCTTTCTCCTAGGGCTTTGAAGTGCACTAAGTGGGAATGACTGGGAGATACGCTGCAGCAGTGCAATCCTGGTCCAAATTAAAATTGTAAAACATAGACACATTCAGAAACTGAAGCCAGAAAGCCTGAACGTTGAGAAGAGCAGTTTCCAGCTACTCAGTTTGGAGGAAAATGAAAAATAGCTTACTCAGATTACATCCTGTTCTCCTGAAACTTGGTCTCTGCGTGTCCCCAAGACCTAAACTCAGATGACACTAAAAACCATACACTGTGGACATAATTCAGGGTCACTCGAGTAAGTTAAAGTGAAAAGCTACCAATGTGACTGCAGAAAGCTAACAGAATTGATGAGAAACCTCGATGGCCATCTCTGAGAAAGTACAGTACTTGAGCACGTGTTACTTCAGAGAATAAGATACTCTTCATCTCTTAGTAACAGCAGATTTATAACTCTGTCAATTTTCCTGAAGATAAATGAAACAAACTTAACCTTTCTTGGGGTGAGGGATATTAACATTTTATAGTATACCTACATGGGAGACAATGCAATTTTTTTTCACACTACTTGATTACTAAGAACAACAAGTATGTAATACAGAATAAGTACTCTAGCTCTTCCTGAACATTTAAAGAAGAGAATTAAGTTGCAAGAAGCGAGAAGCACAGCAAAACCATGCTAAGGCAAGCTCTGTGGAAAATAAAAGGTGTTACTGTACTGGTTATCACTTGAGACTTCTTTTCAAAATGATAGGAATATATCGAGTTTTCTTAAGGAAATGTAAGTCAGTTCAAAAAGGAAGTTAAGTGACAAAGGTCAAAAGTGCTCATCTCTACCACTCAAAATACTCAGCACAAACTCACCTTTACTCCTACGGAGCCATTTGGCATCTTCTGAAGCTCATAGGGAAGCCTGGCCCTTTCAGCTTCTATGTAAGGATCTTCAAATGCTCTTCCATGCAGTTTTTTGAAGCCATGCAATGTGTTTTTTACATTTGTGACAATCTGTGGAAAAGATACTTTAATTACCCATGACATAACCAGACATGTATAGAAGACCATCCAGAAAGGAACTCTTGTTACGTTGGGCTTACTGCACCTCCTGAAAACCCATGTCAAGCCCCACATACTTACTGGAATAGAAAGAGTGGGGGGAGACAAAGCAGCATCTTCTTTTAATTTATGGTCTCCATTAAAAAAAAAAAGTCAAATTTACTTCCCTCTTTAATATCCATTAGCTTGCTGCCATCAATTTTCACAACTTATTTTAGAGGAGTTTTCTGATACAGTATGCAATACTTGAGACCACATTATGTACTGTTGCAGTGGCTGTATGCAAGAACAAATGAGGCTATTACCTACATTAACCTTAAACAAAGCTTCAACAAACGAAGTCATTTAATTTCCTTTAAAGTTCTCCTCTAATTCAGATCCCATCTGGACATAAAGCCTCCTGACATCTCAGTGTTTCAACCTCGTTACTTTAAGCACAGACTTTTAAGTAAAGAAAGGACCAGAAAAAAATCCCAATAAGCACAGCATTAATGCACTCAAAGGCAATTATTCCAGGATAATCTTCTCCAAGATAACCTAGTTTACTAGTCTAAATAACAAACTGGGAAGAGTACTGACAGGACACCTTCCCACTACCAGAGTACAGGGCTTGAGCTCAGATAAACAGTGTAAAGTTTCTCTGAATGGAAGTGATACACTGTCGGCATGTACTGACTGCTCATGGTACCAGCGGTAAGGTTCTATTACTTTGATATCCTCCAGGCAAATTTACAGTTGCCTACACACTACACTAAGGGGAGGAAGTCCTCAGGGTGCAAACACGATGCACAGAAAGAGGGCAAGACCCAATCTAGTTTCAGTGTGTAGGTTTACATATTTTCCTTCCAGAGGAAGGTTTTCCCAGGTTGCAAGTGAATTTACAGAAGATCAGAGAAACTTTAGTTCTGTTCAAGGTCCCAAATTGAGACAGTAAGGTAGTATGATTCACCCCCTTTACATTAGTGCAGATACAAGTTGCTGCTTAACTGCCATTTTCAACTTCAACTTTTCTAAAACATAAGCACATGAACTCCTCACCCCAGTAAGGAATTAATTATGAACTCTCACTGTCAAAAGTATGCAAGACAAAACAAGTATCTTTTAACAGAGGTTTTTGTTTCTTCCCATTTTTTACTCTGACAAAAAAATACAGAATACAGTTTCAATTTTAATACAAGGAACATACTTGCTGAAGCAGTAACAAATTCTGTAACATGTACACTTATCATAGACATTTACTTTCAATGAGAAAAACACCAAATTCATCCATTTTCTTCCCATGGTTCAACAGCAAATAAGTCAATAAGCAACAGAAGAGATTTTGATCCATTTACCTGGCTCTTTGCTGCATTCCCAATGGCCCGGGTCTTGGATCCTAAAGATATACATGCTCTAAGTAAAAACAAGGAAAAGAAATTCAGCATTAAGAGAAAACATAATGAAATAATTCCACAGTAGTTTAAAACATTCACAAAAATTAAAGTAGCAGAACATAAATGTGGTATTTAATAATAGTATTTTATGAAGCACTAGTTGAGTTTTCTTGACTCAACAACCACATTCCCACTGTAAGAGCCACTGGCAACAATAATCAGGGAAAACAAAAACAACACAAAAAAGAACATGTAAGCTCAGTTCTACAAACTGCTGAGTGCTTCCCATGACTGAAGGCTACCAGGAACAAACTGCAAATAGGCAAAAGTCTGCGAACAGCTCCCAGCAACAGGCGGCTTGGGAAGCTGCATAGTGCATAGCCTCTTGCAGCTTCACAGGTACTACTGAGCATCCCTCTCAGCCTTGCCTCGGGCTTTAGCAAAGGCTATCCCAGGTCCACACCTTCATTTCACTGGTATGAAATACAACTTGAAATACAAATCCCCAGAAGGGAACTGATCTGGCTAAAACCATTCAGCAGTAAATAAGAGATGCAACCCGGATTTAATGTGGTTCAAATTTAATTATTTAATGAATGCATAAAGGTCACCACAGTAGATTGCTTCCTGCCTCCCCTCCATCATCTCTACAATGAGGGCACTGTATGTAATTTGAAAGTTTTATCTAGCAACCTCTTCTGCTGTAACACCACACTGAACAGACAAAACCTTCTCCAGACTGAACTGCTGCAAACAGACAATGCACTGCCCTACATTTGCAAATATGTAGCTCAGCTTTCACAAACAGTTTTTACAATTTTTAATGTCACTTAACACTATAGTTATCAATTATGCTTCTTAATAAGAAAAGTCAGATAACAGGAATTTAAGAAAGGAGCAAATGGGTTACAAGTAATTTATTTTATGGATAATGTGCTAATACTATTCTATCACACCTTTTCAGTGTTGGAATTTAAATCTGTTGACAAACAGCATCACTTGCAAATACCCTTATGCAGAGGATGAAGCACCAAGTCAGCCCACTGACATTCCTGCCATGGTTTACTTCAATCACTGAATTCCAGTGCAAGGGAATGGTGGTTTCTTCCTTCCTTGGCTGGGAAGCAGAGATGTCAAAAAATAAAACATGCTCTCTTTGGCTCTGAAGACTTCAATTATATCCATGGCAGTCCTTTAGGAAGCACATCCAGCACAAGGATACACATGCCTCAACTGGCCTGTCTCCCCCACTACTACCCTCAACCTGCTCTAAAGTGAGCTTTGGAACAGTACACAGACTTTTCTAAAGTAGCAGCTCTTCACCTAAAGGATATTTCAGTACTCTTCATGTATTGTTTTGGAGAAGGCACTACCATGTCATTTTATTTAGTTTGTGATTACACTAATTGCACACTATCTGAAAAAAGTTACTGAAGAATTATGAGCTTATTGATGATCAACTGTTTTTTCACAAAACCACAGTGGTGAAGCACAGCACCTGAAAGGGCCATTTGCCACTAGTTTAACAGACCAGGTGTTATAGAAACACATGAAACAGACTAGCTGGAGTTCCCAGTTCTGAAAAAGCCAAGCATCAGTTCTCATCCAAAGAGACACTATGGCCAAAGCCCTCAAAAAGCGCAAGGTCTACTGAAATGGAAGTTCTAATGGCAGAATCTTTTTCCTTTCTAATTACCTGTGCTAAAACTTTAAAGATTACACATTTTAGGGAATGCTAACTATCCCATACCTTAGATTACAGAATGTAGGTTTTAGGCAAGATGAACATTTTAACAACTGGGATGCTGGATTTATGAATTACTAGTGCTGTATTAAATTGTGAAAATATAAATCTTCACTGCTTTAGTCTGTAGCACTGAAGTGTGCTTATACTACTGCTGTACTATTGACAGGTACCTGAACCAGCTCAGAAACTGGAAGCCAGCTGCACTAATTTGTTCTGCCCAGAAAGAGCAATCAGCCTGACAGAGCACAGCCAGGACTGCCTTATCTTTAGGGCCTAACTCAGTTTACATGGCTTAATAGCAACACACTGCATTTCAAAATGTACTCATCAGGAGCTAGTTCAGGTGTTTTTATGCCATGCTACACAGCCACAACAAATCTCAATGCTTTGTATTTCTGGGAGTATGTTTGTGACATATCTAATCAATGCTAACTATTTGTTAGCATTAAATATCTAAATGACATAAGTGCCTCTATAGGAACACATAAATAAAGAGTTCATTTACTGTGTCACTGTGTGTAGTAAGCATAAAAGTTTGATCTGCCTACATCAGTCAAATCCTGTTTGAAGTAAGGTTTAGTTACTATGATAAACTTTTACAGCAGTAATAAATCTGCTATATTTCCATTAACTTCTTTAGTTTCCCTCAAGACAACAGCATTAAAAAGGAAGCTCCTCATTCACCTATAGTGCATTTTGGAGAAAGAAAAGAAAAAAGCCAGGAAAAAAGTCACTTCAAGGGAGATAACTACTGCCTTTAAGTATCTGTGCGCCCCAGATGCTATCCTACTAACTGTGCTTTTAAACCCATTTCATAACCACTTTGCAAATATTTTGAAAGTATAACTGCTCCGGCATTACTGTGAGAAATACTAAATGCAGAGAAACCTGTGTGGAGCCCACCTGCAAAGAATGCACTCCAAAAGTACCTAAGAATTGGAAGTGCTCTTCATCATACAGGGGCAGAAAACTGCAGCTGCCTGAAGATTCTTGAAGCAACAATTTCAGGGGCTTCCTTGCACAGAAACTTGGAAGGTGCCAGAACTTTGGCTCTTAAAGGATGCACAAAGATAATGCCTTCTTGTAAATTAAGATGACGGTATATATATTTTTAAGTAGTAATTAAAGATATGCCTAATACAGAAAACATGCATTTTAGCATTCGACTTTGTTCTTTTAGAAAAGAACTTTTCAGAAAACAAATCAAGCCCTACATTTCTCCAAGAGCAAAGAGAAAGCAATGCTAAAGTTGTATAGCCTCACATAGCAGAAAACAGCGTTCTACTGTTGTCTACAAATTTTTTAGACAAGCACCATCCAAACCCCATTTTTATGAGCATTATACGAATTCCTGACTTCTCCTCGAAAATTACGCACAGATGGAGCTCCAAAACCCCTAGACGTATCCCATAGAAACAGAAAAAAAGAATCTCCACCTACTCCTGCGTATCCCATCATCACGGCCGCTGCCCGCTGCCCCCCCTTCCTTGCAAGACCTCGGTATTCCACGGCCAACAAACGCAGAAGGGTGCGAGTAAGAACAGGTTTACGGAGAATCATCGCGCCACTTCCCCGTTTCCCACAGAATTAACGTCCTCCTCCCTCCTACCCTGTCTCACATTCACTCCATCATAAAATTGTTAATGAAAACGCTCCAAGCCCTGACAACGGCTCTAGAGTTGGGGAAACACACGCTCTTATCCACATCTACAATAAACTAAAAGTATTAAAAGGGTAGAAAACAACTCCCCATAAATCCACTATGCCCCGAGAGCCGTGTGGCACATCCAGCACAGCGCGGTCCTTCAAGGACACAGAGGAGTCAAAAGCTGGAGGCGGGGGGGTGGGGGGGGGGAATTGCTCTTCGGGCAGTCGCCTGCCCCGACACACGCGTTTCCGTAGCACCTGAGGTGACGGTGATCCGTAAGGGTGTGCCAGTGGGTGGGTACTGCTGCCCGCCTTGACCAACTACATGTAAGCGCTGGTTGCAGCACAGTGTAATTTAATGTGCTTATAGCAATTCAGAGCAATTAGTGCTGGGAGATTATTAAACCGGTTAATACAACCGTCCTCGGCACCTGGAGCTGCCCGCAGGAGTGCGGCTGGCCAGCTGTCTCTCACCTGGTGGTCCCAGGCCAAGGCCTTGCAGCTCACCCTGAGGCGAGGAGCGGGGCATTGACCCGGTGGCCTGGAGGAGGCAGTTGGAAATTCCCAGGGCTTCAAGGCATAGGTTTAACCCCGCACTGAAAAGCCTAGAGAGCATTGCATATAAGCCCCATGTCCAAAACAGAGGTGGGGATTGCTGCAGGTGCCAGGGAGAGGCGGAGGCTCTTCCTTCCAACCTTCAAGTTGTGTCTTTCTCCCATAGAAGAGCTGTCCCAAATTTGTGCCTACATATCCCAGAAGCACACTCACCTTTGTCATTTTTCTTTCTTAGGAAAAAAAAGATGTCATGAAACTTGAGTTACCTCTACTGCAGCTGCCCCATTTTTTATGGGTATCATTTTTACAGCAGGCTGAATCTCTACAAGACATATGCTGGAAAAGCTCTGTAAGTATGTATTTGCTTCTAAAAATGCCATTCTGAATTTCACACAGTGATGACATCTTTCTGACACAGCATGTGACATTGCTGCACAATTTGGTTCTTCTGGAGAGGCTAAAAATAAGCATTCAGCCACTAAACTGGATTCATATTTCAGTCAAGAGTTTTAGTTGTCTCTCCATTTTGCTACTGTTTCAATGGTCTAGTGCAGGACTAGAATTTTCCTAGTGAAGACGATAGATGCCATTTCCCTCTCAAACCTGCAGGAGTAAGACAAGCCGCTGCTAGAGAGTTATTTGTAACATGACTGCTGTTTATCAGTACAAGCAATGAACCACCTCATTTTCCTTACTAGTATTAGGATATGAAAGGTAAACCAGGTTCTGTCCCATCTGCAGTAGCTAAGGAGACAAATCCAAACTCAGGGTTCTGCTCTGCTTCTTCAGTCCCTGTTACAAAACCAGTTCTCAGTGATTCAAGGTATTGCAGCATCCCCCTTTTGTGGCATCACCGAAGGCTAACTCCTGACAGAAAAGAAACCTTGGGCCAAGAGATCGTATGCAAATGCTCTTCTGTAGCTATGCAACATTACTAAGCCAGACCCAGCAGAAATTGTGCAACCTTGCAGCCATCGCTGCAGAAGCACTGGCGTGTCTCACATCTCAGTAGAATAAATCAGACTCTATGCAGCTTCCTACTGCCACTGCAGAGTTATTTCTGGCAGCCAAGCCAGCTGGTTTCAAGCAGCAGACAGGAGCGCAGATGTGTGTAGACTTTCACGATAGCAACAAGAAAGTGCCAACAGACTTTATTTGCTTTGTCAACAGTAAGACTGAGATGAATTGGAGGTGAGATTGTAAGCAGGATAAGCCAGTAAAGTCTTTCATGAAAGTCTTGCGTGTGTGCTTCAGTGCCGTATTGATTGCCCAGCCTGTGAGTATGAACAAAACATGGTCAAGCCAGATTAGCCACAGACTTGCCTGAGCGTATCTCCCCAGTCGTCTACTGTCACTGTAGCAATCTCAGAATTGGGGTTGTCTGAGTCTTTCCAGTTCTTGGCATGTTGGTCACATCTGCATTTTTAGCAGCTAAAAGAGATTTGTACTAACTCAAGGAACTAAGTTTTTTTTTTGTGAAACTTCACTGGTTGTGGAGAAATGTTAGGAATGCTGCTAGCCTCAGTTTCTTTGAACATAAGCATTTTAATAAAGGCTGCCTAAATGCTCTGTTTGGTCCCCAAGCTACCAATATTCCACAAGGTTTGGTTTCTGTTTTCTTTCCCCATTGAAAATTATGAGGTAAGAAATACAAATAGGAGTCTCCTCATTTACGTACACTGCAATATTGAGAAGAATTCTCAACTATTTTAAACTTTCTAAAGAAATAATGTATTGAGTGTTCTGTGTAGGTGTGTGGGTCTCTACATTTCTGTGCTGTTTCTGCTTAAAATGCTGCCAGCCAGGCTAATGTTCTCAGTGGTGTTTGAGTGATGGAACAGGGAGAAAAGTGAGTTGCTGTATTTTCTAATGCAAACTTAAAAACAACCAACCAAATATAACCTCCTTTGCTGTCTTGACTTGTGCTTTAGAATACCATGAAAACACAAGCTAGAAACAGGTTTTCTTTTTAGTGTGGTTCAGGTAGAAGCGGTAGCAAGCTGATGCCTATGCATTTTTAACAGTGGGCTCTGCTGACAGGCTAGGGGTACTGCTGTTTACAAACTATACTCAGGTACATGCTATGATTTGAAAGTCAAGATACGTAACATTTAGTATGAATAAAGCCAGAGCATTGAGAATTCTAAACAAGAGGCAAGTATTTTCTTGGCTGCATTTCTTGAATGAAGTGAAAACAGTGGTCTTTAGTTCCCTGAAAACAAATTATTTAATTTAGTACATTCTTAGTAACAAAAACACCAAATGATTTAAGGTATTGTTTGCATAACATTTAAACTAAAAATATGCTATGCAAACAATGAGGATTCTAAAATGGACACTCAACAAACAAATGTTCACTCACTGTTTTAATCAGATCCTGGACTCCCTGAAACATTGTAGTTAAAAACATCCTTAATTTTGTCATAAAGGACTAGCAAAGGACATTGGAGGGTGCTCCACATAAGAAAGCATTAAGCCCCTCTCATGTGCGTATATTCATAAAGCAGTCAGTGGTTCCTTTATATTGACATTCAGTTCCCCCTCTCTGCACACAAATAACAAGGACAAATCATCACTGCACTGAGAAGGAAACTCAGATGCCTAGCAAAATTTATCTTTCTTTAGTAAAGAGCACTAGAGAACTTTTCCCTAATGTTTCTCATACTGCAAAGGTGTGATCTTTTACCTAATAAATATTCATCTGATGTAGTGCTCTGTTAGTTGGTTCCAATAGCTAAATTTAGAAGGGCTGTGATCCTTCTTCCAATGCTGCTTTTAAGCTTTACTGGGCCAGTAGAAGGCTTAGGAATTAAATGAGGTCACCCCAGCCAGTCCTAAGGGTGCTCTAAATTGTTTCAATGCTATTAAAATTTCCAGAGCTCATTTTTTTCCTTCTTTAGTACCACTGAAATATTTTTACACCTTGTGGAGTTCAGTTCATTAGTAATCAATAGAGTCCTCTAAAAATTGTTAAGGTCTTGACTAGCACAATAACATTTATGTTATTGGAAGGTTAAGATGAAGTGCAGTTCAGTTTTCATCTAGCCCACCTTGTTTCTGAGCATTAATTTGCCTGACAAATAAAAACAAAGCAGAAGGGAGGGTTTGTTGGGTAGAGATCTCAGCACTATCTTCACTAAAACTTGCTTCAGGTGCTTACAGATGAAGGAACTAATGGGTGACAAGCAGTGAATGCTCACATGCACACAACATCATCATTTCTGTACAAGTTAGAGCTAAGGAAATTAACCCTCCCTTCGGCTTTTCTCAAGCACAGTGGGAGTGACAACCAGGCCAGCTGCTTTAAGTCTTGAAAATCTCAGCAGTGGGCCAGAGACAGCCCAGAGGAACCATGTGTGGCCATGCTCTGCACAGCAGAGTGCTTGGAATGGGTTGCCCAGAGAAGCTGTGGCTAACCCATCCCTAGCAGTGCTCAAGGCCATGTTGGATGGGGCTTGGAGCAAACTGCTCTAGTGGAAGGTGTCCCCGCCCATGGTAGGGGGTTGGAACTGGATGAGCTTTAAGGTCCCTTCAAACCCAGACAAGTCTGGGATTCTATGAAATATGCCCACTCTGGAAGCTGGCATAGTGAAAACATCAAATCTTTCAGATATTCTTGAGTAACCCCACAGCTCTGATAAAGCATTTTTTTTGTAGATGTACTTGGTAAACTGTCAAACAACTCCTTTTCTGGAACTGCAGTCTCTTCAGGATCCTACACCTGTGTTAGGAACTGGCACTGTTTCTTGTCTTCGCTAGTGAAAAACACATACTTTTTTTTTTTTTTTTTTGAGTGGTTAACTAAAATCCCTCTCTTCATGTGAAATTCGGCTGAAGACACTAGTTTTTACTTACTTTTTTTTTTAACTTAAATCAGCTACACTGTAAGTTGAATCCACCTGTAATGTCAAAGTAAGGTTTTAGACTGTCTATAATGTCAGAAACATAACCTTGCCTACTTTAGGCCTTTGTGATGTGCTCTGCAGCTAATAACATGATGTTTGAAATTTCTGATGAAGCAAGTCTCATGTTTTATAATGTCCTCTGTTAGGAATTAAGGTATGAGATCACTACAGATTTCCTGAATTTAATGCATATAGGAAATAAATCTGTGGTAAATATTCACATGAATCAATATAAATAAGCATAGTAACCTAGCTAAAAAACATTTTAAATATGTTGGTTTGAATTGACATGATATATGCAAATTAAAAGATACTTGGTTGTTACTGCTTAGTTGAGAAATCAATTTTGCTGAAGGCAGTAACTGTGCTCATTATTTCAGGAAGTTATTCCATCTGGCAAATACACTTTCAAGGAATAAAAGGTGCTATATTTAATTCAGGGCTTGCTCTTGAATCAGAAGCAGCATCATTATAAGAAACTGATAAAAATCATACTAATCAGCTTTATTTGTACCTGAAACTTCAGAACAACATGAGACACCACATGAAATATATTTATACATCCACAACATATATTCGTCCTCTCATTCTCACCTTTTGCGCTAGTAAACCCATTATCTTACTTCAGATGATTAGAATTTATGTTTTTAATAATCTTGATACTATCCACTATCCTAATAGAAAGCTGATTACCAGAAATGCAGTCAATTCTTTGTGAAGGTCTCAAGAGGCACAGGACTTGGGAATAAAGACAGCATTAACTGTGGGCCTGCTGCTGATTAAGCAGATAAAGCGGAATCTGAAGACAGTGAAATCATACTTAGTCTGAAAAAAAGAATTCTAATGGTGCTAATGGTCTTTGCTCACTGTGAGCTTCAAGGTTCCTGTTATTTAGGACAGATTACCAGTGGTATGCAGGCATTATGCAATAATTCAAATATCCCCTGGGGTATTTTTGAAAGCACCTAAACAAGTTCTATGCCAACATATATTATGCTTTTGAGTTTCTGGAATATCAAGAGAAAAGATACTCTTGAAACAAAATGTAGAGACACTTCTTTGGAACTCTCAAGTCCTTTCTAGTACCAGATGGCACAGCGTCCTTAGGGATGCAGGGGACAAGGTCCTGATTTTTCAATAGTGTATTTGCGGGGTTTTTATTTTGTGTTTGAGGATGATCTTCATAGCAAGAATTTTTATTCTGAAGTGTACTTCTGAACTACCTAGTAAACTTACGTGCTGCAACAAGATCCAGCATTAATTGCTCATAACGAAGTGTAATAGCAATCACATGCTCAGAAGTAATTCTCAGCTTGTACTGAGCTTTGAAGATCACTGATCCTACCTCACACCTGGGGAGCAGTTGTGTGACACAAAGGCTGTTCTTACGACCCCATTAGCTGAGATAATAAAGGATATTATTCTACCCACAAACTTGTCTTACTCCAGATATCTGGCTTCTGAGTGGGAAAAAGAAAACAGATCCTGTTTTTCTGCTAAAAGCTCTCACCAAGCTGTGAACATACTTTTACCAGGCTCCCACAATATTATTACTTCATTTTACTTCTTGTCTTTCTGGAGATGTTTCCACTTTTCTCAGTACAGTCTCATCTGCTGTAAGGCTAGGCAGGGCTTCAGTTACCACAACTAACTTCTAAAATCTCAGAAGTAATTTTCAGAAAAGGGTTGCAAGCTAGACCGTACGTGCATCATCGTGTCTCCTGACAAAGAAGAAGACAGCATTCTGGAGGATGTAGTCACAACTTGAGCAATGAAAAAAGAAAGAATCAATGGAGTTTCTTTTGGGTTTGGCAATAATTAATCCAAAATAAACCAAAAATGGACACCTGTACAAATTCTATAAAATGTTTGCCAAATCCAGGGCATCTTTAGTATAATTTTGATAATTTCTCTCAATTCTACTGTAAAATGATTTGGCTCTTCAGCCGTATATTCTATTGACCACAAGTAACTGTCAAGACAAAAGCTGTAACTAACATTCTCACTAGTTCCCAATTGTCCTGGTTTCAGCTGTAACAGTTATTTTTCTTCTAGTAGCTGCTGCAGTGCTGTGGTTTTGCTTCAGTCTGAGAACAATGTTGATAAACCACCAGTGTTTCTGGTTGATGCTAAGTAATGCTTACTCCGATCAAGGACTTTTCACTCTCATGCTCTGCCAGTGGGAAGGGGCACGAGAAGCCAGGAGGGAGCAGAGACAGGACACCTGACCCAAACTAGTCGAAGGGGTATTCCATCCACAGCACCTCATGCCCAGTATATAAACTGGGGGGGTTACCTGGAAGGGCAAATTGATGCTTAGTTTGGGGTGGGTATCGGTTGGTGGGTGGTGAGCAATTGTATTGTGCATCACTTGTGTTTTCTGAACTTACCTGTCTTCTTTTGTTGTTTCCTATTATTATTGGTATTCTGTTATCACTTTATTTTACCTTAGTTATTAAATTGTCCTTATCTCAACCCATGGGGTTTATATTCTTTCAACTCTCTTCCCCATACCAGCTAATGGAGGAGGGGAAGGGGAGGGATGAGCAAGTGGCTGCATGGTGCTGAGTTACTGGCTGGGCTTAAACCATGACACTAATAAGTATTTCAAATACCGTGACAAAGATTTTAAATGTGTGCATTTTCACTTTTAACTTTAATGGTGGCAAAACATCCAAAATAGGAGGCTTGGAATACAATGATTCTCTGCACTGAAACACCAAAACCCCAATGCAGGCCAGGAAAGTCCATCTGTTTCCAGTTTTAACAATACAGTCACCAAGTCCTTGAACTGTTGCTCACCAGCACCTAATGTAAAAGAAATTTATGCACACTGTCAGACATTACAGAAGATCTTTTAGTACAAACTACTTCACGTGACTGAAACATAAACAGCATAGACAATTGTTTTGGCCACTTATGAAGAAAGCATAAAGAAATACAGCCACATGGATGGATGAAGACAGTTTATTCAGATAGTGGTATCCAGTTTCTGAAGCACTTTCAGGTCGAGTAACTGCTATTCCAGTTTTGTCCTCATTCAGCAGAATGCTTATGTATGAATTCTCCTGCTCTTTTTCCAGAAAGACTTTTTTTTTTTTTTCCCTGTGTAATACCATGCTTTCACTTCCTCCACACACATTCTTACTCATTTATTAGAATTTCTCATTTCAGCACTTTGCTGTAGTGGATCACAAGCCCTAAGCTGTGACGAACTTAAAAAAATCCACTTATATCCATAGATTTTTCATATGTTTCTGCATACAATGGGTAACTTCACCCAAGCTCTTAGCATTCTTTCTCTACAGCGGAAAACACAGCAAGCAATAAGCTAGTCTTTGAAGGAAGAATTACAAACTGTACACCTTCTTGTACTAAAGATACAATGAAAATATTAATTCAGCACAAGTACAGGGCACAAAAAGCAATCGGTAAAGTCAAGCTGCCAATTCCTAGGACAACCTTGCGCAGCACAGACAGCAACTAAAGTCACCTTGTCCCAGTGCAGGTGCACTAGGAAAGCCAACAACAATACAGAGATTTCTGTCTCTGCTGCAGGGCCTTACAGGCACTGTTTTAGGGACATTAGTTTTATCTTTGAATGAATGAAACATATATCCAAAGACATATGCTTTACCAAAAATCTTTGTTGAAAATCTTCACTTGATAACACAGAGTGGTCATTAGCTCTTTAAATGATACCACATAAAACCATAAGGTAGCAAAAAATAAACTCCTCTAGTTTTTGGCATCCACAATTGGCAAAATTCAGGTAAATTTTTCTATATAGAATCTAAAAATAACAGTCTTAAAGTAAGACCTATGCTGGAGTATTTCAAAATTTCCACTTCTAAAGATTCTCTGGCTATTCTTATATTTATTAAAAATGTATTTGTAAGCCATTTTCTTTTTTCAACTTTGGGATTATGTGGTGCTCTTGTGACCCAGATAGCTGATAACATCTTTTGCATCTGTAATCATCCAGTCCTTCACATGGATCTCCCCGACAGAACTGTGCATCAATTCTCCATGATGAGGGAATGAGAAAACATAAAAATCAATATACTTACTTTCACTGTGGCCCATACTGTTTATCAAATAAGAAAAAAAAAAGCCTACCACAGCAGAAGAAACATTTTGCATCACATTTGTAGGTGGTGATCACAGCTATGATGCTTAAATGCTTTGATGATTAAATGCTGTGATGATTAAATAGCATTTCAGGTACACGGTGTATAGTAAATGCAGACTGTGTAGATGTACCCCAAATCACTTTTTATTTGCTGGTTCAGTAACAGCAGTGATGTAGCTGTAGTAGCGTGGAGTCCAGCATAGCTTAACTGCACTAATATTTTATCAGCTGTACAGAAGGCTTTGCAACCTGCCTTAGCTCATGTTGCTGTATGAACAGTTGCTAGTAGAGGCAGCAGAGGGGGCAGCTGCAACCTCAAGATGCTTGGCTGTGCCCATACTACCTTCAATACAGAGTCTGGTGTGTAGATGTAAACTATCTTCTTTAACAGAAAGTCCCATGTACTTTACAGTCTAAAGGTTTTAGTAATTATTATTTGTTTTAAAGATAATCCATCTAAGCAAAATCTAACACAAATACCTATAATGTCTTCCCATGTCCCACCCTGTACAGAACATGTAAGAAAGCATTGAAAGACTCTGAGCTTTAGGAGTGGAATTCCTACATTGCTAAATGCTGTACTTCTAAAGAAATTAATCTTGAATGCTACTCATGGAAGGTTTCTAAAATTTTAGTCACAAGCTCATACACATGTAAACCATCTGGTAACACTTCTAGGAGATGGCAAGGAGATTTGAAGAACTATAAACACTGTTATTTACATCATGCATGTTTTTCCACTGGAAGGAAAGAAGGAAAACAGCAACCTTAAACTCTTTACGTACAAAATGACTGTAATGGAAAACGGACCACTTAAGAATTGGCTTGCAATACAAGGAGATTAATCAAACTTTAATGACTGACAGCATTCCTTGTGGTCAGCACCACCCAAAAAGCCTGTGGCAAAAAGTTTCTGGCATTGCAGGAAAAAACTGCCAACAAGAGAAAGCACAAAACACTGGACTTTTGTTTAA